ATTAATTTCTTAATTCAGAGTAAGTAAATGGTACAATGAAAGGCATTAACTTTGTTAAAAAAATATTAATTTACTTTATTCATTCATACTAATTAAAGGACTTGTAACTTATAAAGTTTGTTTGATCTGTACTTTAAAGAAGTGTTGAAATGCTGAGGGACACAGGCCACATCCTTCACGAATAACAAAATGACAGAATCTCTGTTTTAAGTGAAAAACTCAGAAGCACCTTTATCACAGAACCCCGGGTCACCCAGCCTAGGGTCCTGCTACTGCAGCCAGCCATGGCTGTAATATTTGATTTTTTGAGCCCACTATCATTACTGGAAAGATTTTCTAGTATCTAACAATTCTAATTCAGGGAAGGTAGGAAGAAAGAAAAGAAGGAAGGGGGGAGAAGTTGTGCATGCACATACACACACATATATGTACACATATATACATACACATATGTGTGTATAAATATATATTTATGTGTATGAAGTATAAATGTTTGCAGATATGGGATGTATATACAATTAGAAATGAAAGGAGGAATCCTGAATCTGCAGAATCATCAGCTGCTTTTGCCAATGACTCTGAGCTTTGCTCCTGTTTACACGACTTTTTTTGTGTATACTGAAGTGCACTGGCAAAACTGTTTCAACAGCTCTGAGCCGATTCCGTATACTGGTCTCATGCAAGAAAGTCTCTTTAGAAGTCTCGCACTCAAACCTGATGCCCATGAAGCAAACAGAAGGTACGCACCCACACTAGCGCAGAATTCAGTGCTATGGAGTAAGTGAAATGGAACATTAAAAAGCAGCCTAGAGCCTAAATAGCTTACAGTAGTAGGACAACACTGTAGAGTAGTAAGGGGATTTAGTAATATCAGTTTTAAAATAGTTTCAGCTCTCAGAGATGACAAGTAGATTAAAAGAGCGTTCACTTCAAGTGGTATAGCTAAGAACTTAACAACTCCACTTGCAAATACCCTTCAGAGTAAGAATGTCCTGTTGTACTTAAATTTAATCCATTGCAAAGGAAATTTTAAAAAATACGTTCTTAGTTCAAGACCAAATATGGATAAATAAACAGAAAGAACAATTCCAAACTATGTAATTTATATCTATTTTTTCATCCTATCCTCTCAGTAATAAACTATCCCCCCCATATGTGTCATACACTTGTAGCAATCATCTTAGAAATAGCAGGGATGTTTCTGTGTAACAATAATCCTCATGAAAGTACCAGCAAACTATCAGTCCATTTAAGTACAGCTTGAAAATGAATATTCTAAAGAGCTGTAGAAGTTTTAGACTAGCATTTCTTATGCCATGTTTCCAAGAAAAAAATTCTACAGTAGAGGCATAGCCCCCAAATAAAATGGCTGATAAATTCTTAGATACTGTACAGTAGGAAAAAATCCCCAACCTAAATTAAAAGATCAAGTTATGATGAGATTTCTTAATGCAAGTCATTAGCTGTGTTAAGATTTGCAGCATATTAATGGTATTAAGCAGAACACGTTTTTACTTAAGTGCAAAAGTTTGGGACTTTCCTCATATGACCTTCCTGGCACCCTGCCAAGCAGCAGCTCTTGTTGACATTTAATCTGAACATAATCCCTGAAATCTCTGCATCACTGCTGGGTTGCCGGGGATGATTCCCTGGCAGTGAATACAGACTTATAAATTTCATTTGCAGCTCATGGCTGTTACCCTTCCCTTCCAGCTGTTGCAAATTATTTGTTTGAACTAAAAAAAACAAACAAACAAAAAAAACAACCCAACAACAACTATTCCCTTTATTTGTTATAGTACCTTAGTACCTAAAGCCAGAAAACAAACCTGACATTTTATTTCAGCTGTTTTTTTACTGATGGCTACCATATTTTTAAGGGGATAGACTTCAGAAAACAAGATAAAACTCAGCAGCTGAAGAAAATCCTAGCTAATGAGCTGAAGTGGCTCAAACTACCCCATCATCTCTAAAAAGGAATGAATGTTCCAACTGAGGGCACCTGCACTTGATTGTGGTCTTCTGAATAAACAATTGGCACAAAAAGGGATATACTTAAGCATTTTTCCTTATTTTAAGATGCCTCTGATCTTTGAAGTCAACTGCATTACTGTCATGAATACTGCAAAAAACAAAACAAAACAAAAAAAAAACACCCCAGTGTCCTAAGATTTCCACATCTGTGATTTTTGCCGCTTGTGCAAGAAAAGGGAAGCAGGTGGATTAGTGGACTGAACTGATGCCTGAAAAACAGTGATGAAACTGAGGCAAGACAGCTCTTTGTCCTGCAGAGAAGCACAGAAAAGGCTACAAATCAGTGCAGTAAGATCAGTGTGAATTTCCCACTGTTTTCTGTGAATTCAGGATTTCCCATGTCTTTTTTTCACTGCATTCACAAAGGAGCTAGGTAGGCACAGCAGCACTGATTTTAATCTTGCTAATGCAGGTATTAAAAGCAGTCAAGTAATACAACAGTATGAGCTCCGATTTGGGATATACAGTCCTACCCACTGACCCAAGTGTTTCCTTCAGCAAGAATTTAAGTTTCATTATAGTTCTCGTGAGCTAGCTCTGGTCCACCTGAATTTGCTGCAGTCCAATTTCCGATTGTAGAAAGGATTGGCTCTTACTGAGACTTCTTATTCCCTCAGTGATCCTAACATTTTCTCCTTCCTATACAAAGTAAATAAAGTGAACAAGAACAATTAAATTCAATTAATCTTTTGAAGGGCTTAATTAACAAACTATAAAAGGATGACACATTTAAAGCAATTTAAATTTTCTAACTCCTAATTTACAGCGAAAAGCTTTCCATCATCAGATGATCAGACTCCTCTCCCTGGCATTAGTAAAGACGTTTTCTTCACAGTGAGTTGACCAGATTACGGAGGACCATAATTCTGTGGGAAAAGAGAAAGTGCTCCGAAGTATTCTCAAAGGCTTATTTTATTACAGTTAACCTCTTCATCTCTCAACCCACATCCTATTGCAAATGTATTCTTTTGGGCTGGGGTGCAAGGGACCTTTCAGTGCTTCTACTTCTGCTCTTTAGGAAAGGAGACTAGTAAAAATATGAGCTACTTCTCCAGTGCTCTAATTCCGACAACTGAGTGGTCTGATCCAATCAACAGCCACCAAAGTCAATAGGGAGCTCTCAGTATTTGGTTTAGGCCACAGAAGAGTGAGAAACTCAGAAATATTTTTTTACTTGGCCTTCAGCCTAGTACAGTGCCACCACGAATGAGTGGCTGCTACAACGAGACCTTTTAAAAGAGAATATGCGAGATATCAGTCAATGAAAACAACGCAAACCCTATCCCCATCTCAAAGAGGGGAAAATCATTGCAGCTTTATGATGAAGATTTGCAGGTATTCTGGTGCCAGCCTACTAGCAAAAGAATTCACTGACAGGGAAGGGCAAGGCTTGTTTGCAACACAGTCCTGGTGCCGTTTCACGGCTGCCAGCCAAAGCCTCGGAAGATCCCGTGGGGCAGCAGTTGCATTGGAGCTGCCCAATCACGCCCCTTCACTGTAGCCAGATTTGCCTATTTTTGCAGCTGGCACCACCAAAGGCTAGAGAAGCTTGTAGTCAGCACGATCCCTTCCAGACCGACTCTTCAGGCTCTTCAGCTAATAAATACTGAGAGCAGTACATACACTAGCATACGCTACTGCAAACACAATTTATATATACCTGGTTCTGAACCTCTTTAAGGACTTTCTTTTTCTTAACAATTTCTGCATGACCGCTATCATCACGGCCCTCACTAGCCTCAGAAGAAAACTGCTCACCAAACCATCTCGTTAAAACATCGTTTCACTTTGCACTGACAAAACAAAATCCCTTTTGCTTGCTGTTTCTAATCCCCACCATAACAGCACCGTACACAAAGCGTCATGATAAAGAAAAGCTATATTGGTTAGTCCAATGACTCAGCAGTGGTTTCTTGCATTGCTGCTTTAGAGGCACCAAAAACCAGATCAGAAGCTTAAATCTTGATGCTAAATACATGTTCACTGTGCAGCCAGTCCTATTGTTTTCAAGAAAAAAATGAGTCTGCACACAGCCTACAGCTACTAGTGATAAATGACCCACAAAATATTAACAGTGACTGACTGGGGAAGATCGGTTGCAGTAGCTTCTCCGTTTGCAACTAAGAACTCAGACAACAGAAAACAAAAGTCAGAAAGGGGGCAAACAAAGGATTACAAAGAGTATTACACACTACAAACAGGTATAGCATGTACAACCAATTTTTACAAGATGACATTGAGCTCAAGCCTCAGCAGCGCTCCAAAATTAAATGATGCTTTCCAACGGAGTATTGCAAATGGCTTTACAAATTAGAAAACTCACAGCTATTCTCAGAGGCAAGCAAACATGACCTGTTTTCACATGAAGGGCTCCCAACTATGCTGGAAAAAATGAACTATAGGTCTGAAGTTCAAGAAAATCCATGTGTGCAAACAAATGCATGATCTGTGTGTGCAATTACTGTGACCCTGTGTGATAAGTAAATATATACGTACCAGAACAGTAATTACCTACCTAACTTGTTGTGGGCCTGTGACAATGCAGGGTCTGTGAGCTACTGTGCTGTCTCTGCTTGTAGATTAGCTGCATTACGGCAGGCCACTTTCTGGAAAAAACCACTCAGGTTCACAGAGTTTGTTTTTGTTGTATTGCTAGCATGACATATAACCTGAATTGTGCCCCTGTCCTGCCTCTTGTTTGAACAGTAAAGATCATAGCCCAGTGTAAGTGGTGCTGTAAGCGTGACCAGATGGCCCACGGGGAGGAAAAAGTGGCTTTATGTTGCTACTTATAACAGTGCTAGTAATGCAGTTAGGAAGCAATAGCTTCTATTTCAGCATCTCAAGTGCTGAACCTGAGTGAGACAGGCCTAACATATAAAATGCACTGCGACCCAGGGGAAAAAAGGCACAGCCCAGCTCACAGCCATATGACTAAACTCTTTTCCCCTCCAAAACACAGTTACCTTTTCAATAATGCCTGTTGAGAACAGTCCCTCGCCCACGCCATCTCCTGAATCATGCCATAGGTGTCATCTGGGAGTGTGCTAGTTGGTACGGGCCAAAACCATGCCACGGAGTGTGCTAGAAATTAAACAATATGGACAATCATAAGATAGTGCTCAAATACAAGTCCTGGCCCTGATTAATTTACTAGGTAGGCTAGGTAGTCACAGCCTTGGTGGAGTAAAGTGAAAGCGGAGTCATTTAAACACACTGCTGCAGTCAAAATAAAAGCATCATGAAAAGTGTAGAACAGCAGGAACAAACACTAAGACTCCAAATTTTAGTCCCATGGTCACAAGATCATATATTAGTACCACAAGAAAGAGGGAAACAAATAACTTCTAAATAAAAATCAAATATTTCTTTGAAAATAAGGACGACAGAGGATGAGTGCTACAATAGATATCAGCGTGCTGGCAAAGGAGAAGTGAGAAATGGATGTTTTCCAGCAGTTAGTTTAGGAAGACAAACATTGTTTCACAAATTCACTGCAGCCCTGCTTATGTTCCAAGCTCCTAAATTCATGCCAAAGGGCTTGGACTTTCTGAACATCCTGTTCTGTTTCCTCAACCGCTAGTCTGAGTCCTCTGTGCTAAATGTCTTTATTCCAGAGTCCCATTTTCTATCATTTTATTCCAGGCTCCTCACTCTGTAGGCTTTGTATTTTACCTCTGGGTAAGAGTGAAGACAAGCAGATTAATGAGAAGTCTGAACAGCACATTAAGTTATACCTATTTTAAGAGCCTTCTACAGTAAGCATCCCAAGGCACTGTGTAAAAATAAAGCTACACAAATCGCATTTAAAACTAACAAAAAGCTTGCAGATGCTGGCATGCCTTAAAGCAGAAATATAGAGATCGATGATTAAATGATTCAAAGATTCCCCAAAGTCTAGGAGCTACATGAGCACAGACCATTTTACCTGTCATTGCATGGACGCATTAGCAGTCTGCTCAAACATAGAGTTGAGGCATCTTCATGAGGGTCTACTGGCAGGAAAAATATTCCCCCTCGACAAGGGAAGGAAAACAGCTCTAGAATATGAGCAGCAGGTGGCTATTTCAGGGACTTCTTAAGTGACTCAAGGCAACGCGTCCTGCACCTTTCACATGCGGCCGCAGAACACTTTCCTGCTCCTTTCTCTGCCTTGCCGCAGCTGCGAGAAGTTCACGGTACAAGTGGCCTCACCGGGGCGGCTACAGTAGCCAAGGCTCAGGCAGAGACAACCCTTCTCAGGGACAGCAACGTCAGCTCTCTTCCTAACGGCTTTTAACTCCCAGATCCACTGTTCCTGGTATGCTACCAACACCACCCACGAGCTTTTGCTTGCCTTGGCATGACTGAAGTGAGCAGTGGGCCCAGGTCTTTCATCCATACAGACGCCTCTTGGCTGCGGGATGAGATGATGTGATAGAAGTAATTTCTCTCTCTCGGTATGAGAGGGAATCACTGCTGCGGCTACCAAAGTGACAGGGAGCCTGTTGCTGTGGTCAGTGCAGGCACAGAGCAGCCCAGTTGCTTCCTAGCTCTCTGCCATGCTTACAAGATGGCAAGACTTCCCACCTTGCTTCCTTCCTTCTCCTTCCCACAGCAGCATTTTAGTAAAGGCTGACACCAAAGCGTGGAATGAGAGATACCTTATCTGCCTTAATAACTGCACTGCTCAGTCATAGTCCCCTTGCAGCCATGGCGCTCAGTAGATGCTCCTGTGGGAACCTTAGGCCCCCGTGATCCCAGAAGCCACCTTCAAAGCATCCCCTCTGAGGAACCCAGATGACCCTACAGTTAGTCTCATGCCTATGAGGAGCTACTGCGGATTGTCAGTATCTAAGCCCCAAGACTGTGCAGCAGGGCTACAAGCAGCACACCAAGTACCACCGGGCTCCAGGGACCCCATGCCCCGCTGTACGCCCCCCAGCCCCTGCATTCCCCCCCTGCCATGCCCCTCCAAAACTCCCTCTCTAAGATCACTGCAGACAGATCCTCAGTCCTAGCTACTAGGCTGACCATGTTGCGCTACTCCAGTAAACACTGCTCCTGTGTGAAGGTCCCATGTGACTCTCACCTTGCCCTGCTGTTTTGAGGCAGAAAAGCTGTGGAAACCCTTCAGGCACACATGGCCCTGTGAGAGCTTGTACTAAAACTGGTGGGATTGTTTCCCCAGGAGGTCCACCAGCAGACATGCTGATCAGCCTGCTGTTTGCAGGGTGTGCGAAATCCCAGTACTTCTGAACGCACTGGGATAGGCAGCTAGTGGTTTCAAGGCTATAAACACAGCAAAGAGTTACTAGCAGCTTTTTGACCTTTCTTCCTGTCTTACATCCCGTTCCCCTCTTTCCTTCCTTCTCCCTTTCTCTTGCTCTTCTCAAACATGCTGTCTTGTACAGTGGCGACATTCCCATCCTCGTAAAGTCTCAACAAGTGAGTAGGGATGAGCAGTTTCAGAATGAGGCAGCCTTCCTGGAACCACAGCAATGGTTCAAGCAGTGCACAAATAACCACCTGCCCCTCCTGAGACTTATTTACCTTTCTTGAATCTGAACAGATAGTTTAGGAGGAAAAAAAAAAAAACAAAAAACCCAAAAAACAGAGGGATGCATTAGCTGTCTGTATGAATAAGTACTGTTGGAAGATTAGCTTTGGCCTGCAAGCCTGACCAAACAGCAGTGTGGCTCTTGCTGGATTTACCCCTACCTTAACATTACATATTTATTAAGACACATACACACACACAGAAAAAAGATTTAACAGCACAAAGGGTTAGTGGCCAGTAGACTGCATTTGTAGCAATGAAGTCAAACTAAGGCCTATGAACCATCAACATTTTAAACTGTTTAGATGACATGAACTCGACAAGAAATCTCAGGTAAACACAAACACATGTGTATTCTAGAAATTGTGGAATTAACAAAAAATGCTGCGGCTGCCAACATATGAAAATATGCACAGAATATTAATTCCAGCAATTTAGTTAAAATCAACCTCAAGCTTATGAGAGGGATGTGAAATAACACCATCATTAAAAAAAAAAAGAGGTGCTGAACAATCAGCCACAATCAGCCACATTCTGAAACTAGTTCAAGAATGTGTGTGTGAAGCCAACTGAACGGACAAAGTTGGGATGAGATGCGTTTCATTTTGTGTATGATTAGCTTTACTAAAGAAGGCCTGGATAGACAAGACTTAAAACTCAACGTTGCTCAAGGAACGAGCGCTTTCTTAACATCATCTGGCTTAAAAGTTACTTGGATTCCAAAGCGGCCATCTAATCGCCAACAGGAAAGCAGAGAACTATTTTAAGTAAGCATCACTAAAAATAAAATGAGAGAAGCAATGGAAGGAAAAAGAAAGTGGTCAGTGATAAATACAGTATGGAGATCTGACTATTTATAATTTTAAGGCTATTTATATTTTAAAGCTTTCCTTCTGAAACACTGACAGGCAGGCTTCCACATTAATCAGCCTGGTATTCATTCAGCTGCACAGTATTTATAGAAACATGTAAAGGCCAACAACAACAAAAAATACATTAAAATTTATTTCTGCCAGAATTTGGGGTTATTATTATCACCTCACATTCAAGTTCAGCCACACACAAACAAAACACTTCACAACCTTACACTGATCCACATTTTGAATGCTCTTCATGAAATTCTGCTCCAGCAACACATTACACTGAAAAAACTCAACACTGACACAACTTACTATCCCTGGAGATGTAGTCTTTCAGAAGAGCTCACTATACTGTGGGCTTTTTTTTTTTTTTTTTCCTCCGAGAGCCGAACACCTGACGTCATTCAGGACACCTGCATAGCACCTGGGATAGCAAGGCCATTAAGAACTTATACAAAACCAACTCATTATAGAGCAAATCTAACGAACTAAGTTGAAGCAGAAAGGATCTGCATGAGTGGGATGACTGGTGAAAGATTGATTATATGCTAGAAGACAACCACTGAAGTACCGTGTACATTCCAGTCCGAAGACATCGCATTTGGCTCTTTAGAAATGAAGACATTCGAAAGGAAAGTGCAGTTCCTCTCGTGTGTCCCTGAAGTTCCTCAGAGAGCACCGTCTTTGCTTCTGGTTATGAACAGACTGCATTTATGAATCCATTTAGGAAATTCCAATGGAGATGTATGCTGCTTCCCTAATAATCTGGCTAATTTAACTTAGTTTCAGAGTTTCTGAAACTAGCAGAGTGACTGCTTTCTGTTAAAACAGAAATTTGTTACTCTTAGCTTTGTTAATGCGTCAACACAGTTTTGCTTAATTAGGCAGTTTTCTTCTCTAGCAGTCCTCTCCCTGTTGTATTTATTAAGAGCTATCTTATCATCTCTCAGTTTTATTTTGCTGGGCTAAACAAGCCAAGCTCTCCAATCTATTCAGCTAAGATAGAGGCTCTTAAAAATTCCTTTCTGCCCCTGCTACAGTAGGAATCTATCTGTCTTGACTTCAGTGCCCAGAATTACATAAACTGCAACACACGAGATTTCATTTTGTCTGTTTTTCTGTGACTGCAGAATTTCCACAGCCCCACTATTTTCACCTTATCCTATTCCATTCACTTCATCCTTTTCCATTCTATGTTCATATTTATCTTTCAATGGATCACATTACAGTGATGGCTACTTACCCAGTTAGGTTTGCAGCTTTCCTTAGTTTTTAATACAAACTTCTGATGTTCTTAAACATATTCTCTCTGCTTGTAAATGTCTAGGCTTTTTAGTCCAGCCAACCTTGCTACTTACTAACCTCACTAACATGTTTTCTTAATTTCATGGCCTGCCCTTCTGCAAGAAAGAGCTTTATTTATGGGCCTTTTTTTTCTTACGCTTGTATTAAATTTGAACAGAAACAATTAAATGAGTACTTGATCCAAGCTTCTTTTTTTATAACCATATCTTCTACAGTGGCCTCATGCTGCACTAAAACTAAACCTGAGATAGCCTCTCCACATCTCAGCTCAGTAACTCCTTTAAGAAGAAATTATATTTCATAAATATAAAATATGAAATCATAAATATGATTTTACTGGCTGTCATAGCTTGCACCCAGGACAGGCAGTGTCCGAAGCT